GCTTCTCGAAAGAGTAATCTATAACAGATTGTATGAGTATTTAATTCAAAATAAAATCCTAAATAAAAAGCAGTTTGGTTTCAAAAAACAACATTCTACTGAACACGCAATCCTAGATCTAGTTAAAAATATAGGTAATTCTTTTGATAAAAAACATTATGTTCTAGGCATCTTTATAGACCTGTCAAAAGCGTTTGATACTGTATATCACAATTTCTTACTTAAAAAAAAGGAAAGGTATGGATTAAAAAGCAACTTTGAACTGGTTCAAAAACTATTTAAGCAACAGACAAAAATGTGTTTTTTCAGATAATTATTAATACTCAAAACTACTAAGAGTTGAGTGCGGCGTCCCACACGGTTTTATTCTTGGACCTCTTTAGTTTCTTCTATATATTAACGGCCTTACAAAACCCTTGGAAAAACTTGATGTAAATATAATTGCCGATGACACAAACTTGTTTTATTCCTCGAATTCAATCAAAGACCTTTATGAATGAATGAACAACGAGCTTAAAAGATCAAATATATGGTTGAAATTAAATAAGTTATCACTAAATACACAAAAAACAAAATACATATCGTTTCATTCCGAAAAACAAAAAAAATGTATACCAACTATCCGTTCCTCACCAAAAATAAATGGGATAAACATTGAAAGAACAGGAACAACTAAATTACTTGGGATACTTATTGACAAAAATGTATCTTGGAGAGCCCATATAAGTACAATAAACACCGAAATTTCAAAAAATATTGGAACACTCAAGAAAGTTAAAGCTATGTTTTCCCATGATAATCTTAAATCGCTTCATTTTTCTACATCCAAAGTTATCTCACGTTCACTAATATTACATGGGCAAGTACACACAAATCCAAAATGAGTACTGTTTATATATGTCAAAAACATGCATCAAGATTAGATTGTAATAAAGATAATATCACCCATTCTGAACCCTTACTAAAAACCTTAAATGCACTAAATGTTTACTAAATCAACATCTACTAATATGAACTACTTGTTCTTAAAAACAAATTTAGTCCGATCGCATTTCTTAGATAACTTCTTTTAAATAAACTCTAACAGATATTAACAAGAGTAACAGGCAACTTTACACTGCCTAAAAGAACAACAAAGTTCTCAATCAATCAATGCCACCTTGAAAAATAAAATAAAACACCTCATTCTTAATATCAACAAATGTATCGACATGTATTAAACTTGACATTAAAATTAAAAATTATACTAAATTATTTATATGTGTCATTGACTGTATATTGTTTAATCACTTTTGACTATATAATAAAATGAAATAGACTATATTTAACCATTTAAAGAGGTACTCGATGAAAAGCCTTTTTAGACTTCTGCGAGTTTTTCTTGTATGTATATATCTGAAGTAACAAAAAATTTCTTGTCTCATTTTTTTTACTTTTCTTATTTTGGTTTTTTTTTTTTTAAAAAATACTGGCTGTTTTTATGATAAGAAACACTATTAATTAACGCTATACTTAGTTATACTTGTTAAACCACTTTTTATTATGGTATATTTTACGTGGTATTATTATGTTATATTTTTTACAATGCATTTGATTATGTCATGTAGTTACGTAACGATGTGTAAATTTATTGAAGTTGTGAAAAAAAATAAGCGTTGCGATTAAGCATTTTTTAAATATACACTCATAAAGTATTTTTTCAATACTTATAATAATACTGCAATTAATAGTAGTGCTCTTTCGAGCCTGTTTGACAGAGAACTATTGACAGCCTTTACAACCGAGATAATGGCGAGAAAGAGTTGTAGCAGCTTTGTTTGATAAGTAAAAACAACTTGAACTTCAAAATATTTAATGTTAAAACATACTAAATATATATTAGGTTTTGCAGTTTTACTTGAAAAAAAAAGTTTCACATGAAAATTGGATTTTGTCAACTCCTTATTTTTGATCTATAGCATTTAAAAACTATCAATGATACGCGTTTAGGTGGAAAACAAATCTTATTATAAATTTCTTATAAGCTCTAGGTATGTAAAAAAGGTGCCCATGTTAGCTTTTTTTGCTTTTAAAGCAACTTTTCAAAATAATTATTTTATTTAAAAATATTGAAGTAAACAATTTAATAGGTATAGAAATGATCGGTGAGTATTAGATAAGTATAGAAATAGTAGGCTTAGTAATGACCCTTATTTTATGGGTCAGATCAGCTAGTACACAATATTGTATCATGCACTTATTATAAATAACTAAATATATTTTTTTCTCAGATTTTTTATTTGGTAAAAAGCATCTATAAAAATTATTAAAATTTTTTTTAAGTTTTAAGAATGATTTAAAATTTAAAATTAAACAGAGTTTATCTCTTGAAAGTTTTCTGCAAGCGACAATGCTTTTATTTAAGAGGTAGATGCGGTGCATAGCAGCATTAACCAAAATTTATAAAAAGACGGAGGTATAAAGTCCGCTAAGTTTGATTATATATCAATTCAGTTAGGCTCCAGAAGCCATTTAATATCCAGTAAATAAAAGATGTTGATTTTTTTTTTATATTCAGGCTTCAGCTTTAAGTTAAAACTTTATAAATTGGCCTTTTCTCAAGTTAAACTGTAGATATATAAATTTATGGATACTATAGAAAAATCACATTAAAAAGAATTGTTCTTAGTTTAAAATAAAAATAAAAATTAAAGAAACAATACTTTAACTAATGTAGGGGAAGTGGGGGCATTACCGCATATGGAGGCACAACCGTTTTTTAACATTTCTCTTCAAAAAATGTTATCTTATATGGCAAAAAACATTCCACGCGTTAGTAAAACAGTTTCCTTCATTTTACATATGTCAAAAAGAGTGACTGTTAAGTTTCTAAAAAGTTGTGAATAATAATGTTTATTTTGATAAAAATATTATATTTACATCATATTTTTCCTGACCTTCTTTTTGAGAATTAAGCAATATTTGATTTTAGTGTTAAAGATATGTGTTATCAACATTATTTCATGAAGTGAAAACCATTTTTGATAATATCATAATCTAATAATTAAGCTATGAAACTGAATTCTTTCTAAAAACTCTCTTCTGGGGCAGAACTCTCTTCTGGGGCAGAACTCTCTTCTGGGGCAGAACTCTCTTCTGGGGCAGAACTCAAAATGTAAATATAAAGAATGTCTGCACAGTATGCAAACATGCAACAAAGTTATCAAATAATCTGAGCTGTGAAAATTGTAAAAAAAATGTACCATGAAAGGTGTAGCCCCATCGATTTTTGTAAGGGTGCGGTTGTGCCTCACAATGAAGGCAAAACCGTTTTTTTCACTAAGTGTAATTTTTGTGTAATAAAGTTTTCAAAACCCATTCAATTTTTTTCTTAAATGCATCAATTTAAAGCTTAATGATGTGGTTATTGAAATAAACTGTTAAAAAAACACATTTCGTTTTTATTTTCAAATAACTTTAATCCAAAGGTTACGGGGGCGGTTATGCCCCCACTTCTTCTAAGTAAATATCTTGAAGATAACTTAATAAAACAATTCAAAAATCAGGTAATAAAGATCAAATATGTGCAAATAAGAATAATAAAATTATACAAAATTGTTCCTTGAGTAAAAAAAAAAAACTGATTTTATAATGAAATTTTATTCATTATATGAAAAAAATGAAGGTTTAATATTTTCAAAGCTCATAGGTTGCCAAAATAAATTGACGCACGACTCTATATATATATATATATATATATATATATATATATATATATATATATATATATATATATATATATATATATATATATATATATATATATATATATAATATATATATATATATATATATATATATATATATATATATATATATATATATATTTATATATTATAAATATATATATATATAAATATATATATTTATAAATATATATATATATATTATATATATATATATATATATATATATATATATATATATATATATATATATATATATATATATATATATATATATATATATATATATATATATATATATATATATATATATATATATATATATATATATATATATATCTATATATATATATATATATATATATATATATATATATATATATATATATATATATATATATATATATATATATATATATATATATATATATATATATATATATATATATATATATATATATATATATATATATATATATATATATACGAGTATATAAACAGAATCTAATCGTACCGAGTCATTTTTTTTTATAAAATTAAAGCTAAAAAGCTTAAATAAAATAATGCTCTAATTATAAAGAAATTTGTTTTCCTCAGATTCTTTATTTGGTAAAAAACATTTTTAAAAATTGTTGTAATTCTTTTTACATTTTATAATATACCTGATTTAAAATTCAAAACTAAAAGAATGAGCTAAAAATAACTGTTCAAGAGAAGCATTGAACTTAAGAAAAAAGATTAGTTTATTAAAATAACTGACTGATGATTGCCGCCTCTTTATTATTATTTTTTTACGTTGTTCAGCCAACCATCCATCCGTTTGTCGATCCATACTAGCTTTCCTTCCATTCTACGAGTTGTTAAGGAATCGTCCATAAATTACGCAACACATAATATATTTTAAAAACATAAGTAGGAGATATTACGCTCTTTTGCGCGGCGATTTTCATTAAACTTAATAGACTATTTTGATTTTTTACTTATATTGAAACTCTGCGAGGGAAAACTTTTGATCTTCTTTTGTTTTGTTTATTCTAAAATTTTGTGTTACGTAATTTATGGACGATCCCTAATCTGTGCTGTGGAAAAAAGTTAATACAATTTTTCTAAAAAGTTAACATAGTGAAAAAAAGTTAATCCGTTGCAATGTTTTTTAATCTGTTGGGATATGAACAATAAAAGCGAACCGTGACGGTACGTGGCTTGTTTTTAAAAAAACGTTTAATCCTCATTAATGAGTTACAGTATTTGAAAAGTAAATTTACGAAAAAAATATTCAATATTTTTTTGTGAAATTGAATCAAGTTATAAAACTGTTCTCACCATGCATTTTCTTTATCTGCTCTAAGTTTTCCATGCAATGTTGATCCTTTAAACGTGAATCCAACATGTCTGGATAAACGTATTCTAGAACTGTAGCTTCACATTCGTAAAGCATGTAATACATTTTTAACAAGTAATGATTAGCGAACTTTTTCCATGCTTGAACCATGGGATTGGGTGAATCATATGATGTTGAGTTACACAACTTCAACTACTTTTTAAAGTTTTTTAATAGTTCAATCGTTGTCCTTATTTGTTTAATCCTCTCTTTATCTCGTATTTTATTGAACAGTTTTTGTGAAATATCTTTCTCTACAACAGTTTTGATTGCTGCACAGTATTTTATTGATTGATTGTAATTAATGGAGCTAACTGTTCCATCTGGTTGAGCAACTTTAAACTAGTTTTTTTATTGCAGTATTTGAAAATTGTTTGATGGCTAAACACGATTAATCGACTTATCGTTAAACGATACATCGCCGCTCCTTAGTTAAAGACACACCTTCAAACTGAACGTAAGTTTTATAAATATGTTGTTTTTAAGGGCACACCTTCGAATTAAATGTAAGTTTTATAAAAATCTTGGTTATAATATATTATACTTTTATGCTTTAGACGAAACGTTTTTTATTTATTACGTTTTTATAAAAGAATATATTTTTTGTTACAAAATGAAATTTCTGAACGGTCAAACAACTTTTTATCCGAGTATATTAAAGCGTTGATTTTTTTATGCAAAAAGGGGCATGAAAGTAAAAGTTAAAATTGGCAACTTCTTTAATCATTTTTTTTTTTTTTTTTTTTTTGATTTCATGTGATTTTATATTCCGTTAGATTTGTATGAGTTTGTCAACTCTACTTTTATAATTTCCTTTTTAGTTTAAGATTCTTATTAAAAAAGACTTTTTTAAAGATTGTTAGTACTTTTATTTATTTTATTTTTTTTATATAAATTTTTTATCGGAAGTAGTTTATCGTGATAAGTAATTTTTATATATATAGAATACCAATATAAGCAATAACTTGTTTTGAGCGGTACAACGAAACGTCCCAGTTAACCAGCCCAACTGGGTCCCAGCTGGGATTGACTGGGATTGAGCTGGGATTACCGGAATTGGGTTCAGGCTGGGATTTATTCTGGGTGTCAGACGGGGCCCATAGAGTGTGAAATGATTCCAAAAATCCGTTTGGGTTTTTACTGGGATTGACATGGGGCTTCCTCATGGTTTACGGCTGGTTTGAAAATGATTTAATGATAGCTTGTATTTTTTCTAATTTTATTATTATTATTATTATTTTTTGTCATTTGACACATTTTACAATGTTAACCTTACATTCAAATAAATTTATACAAATGCAAGCTGACTAGTGCAAGTAGAAGACAAAATGTCTTATCATCAAGCCCAAAATGTCTTATAATCAAAACAGTTTTTTTAGCATCATTTTTATTAAAAAAAAATTTTAAATAAAATTACAAAACTTTTTCAAAATGTTATATGCGGGTTGATTTAGATTAAATATACACTTGCATTTGGAGTAAATATACACAGCAACATCATTCGGTTTTTTTATTGTATTTTTGTAAAAATATTTACATTTCAGTTTTAGTTCTATACTAAAAGTGTAAACATGTTAAAATCAATATTTAGTCATCCATTAAAAAAACGATTTCACACACACAAAAAAAGAAAATATGACATGCTTTCAAATTTCTAAAATGCCCTGCATTTAAGAAATTTGAGAAATGAAATTTTAGGCTAAAATTTAGACCGAGTTTCTGAGCAATTAATAAGTTTGAGAAATCATATCTCAAACTTATTAATGTTATCTTATAATCTAATCAAACTGATAATTATAATCTCAAACTAATTAACAAATAAGATATGTTAACTTAAAGTTAACATATCTGATTTGTTAACGTTTACTTTTTTCATACTCGTTAAATGTTTTATCAAACTGAAGGCATATTCTGTAAATATGCAATAAACAAATGTTTAAAATTTTTTAACATAGTTTATATGGTTTAGAGCCGTTATTGAAAGCACTCTAAACCATTTAAACTATTTTTAAAAAGTTTTAACATTTGTCTTGTGCATATAATATGCGCAGAATATGCCTTCACTAAGTTAGTGACTAACTTAGTGTGTTTGATTTTAATTTTTTTTTCAAACAAATCTCAAAGACTTTTTGAAAAACCTTTGAATTTGCTATTTTGTCAAAAGACTCTAATAAATTTTTTTTACAAAACATTGCAAAGTTTTACTATATAACACTGCTGTATGTAAACTTTACATAATGTGTATTTTTACATAAATCATTTAATAAATGGTTTAGGTATTTATAAATAATATTTAAGTTTAACATACTTATGAAAAAAATTAAAATCATACATTTATTAAATGTAAGATTTTACATATTTTATAAGTAATATAAATAATATATTTTTTATAGTATAAGTAATATATTATCAAATATATGACTTATAGGAAATGTTAAATCTTACATTTATATTATGCATTTATAAATGATATCTAAAGTTTATATATAGCAGTGTCTCTTAGTAAACATAGTAATACTATGTTTTGTAAAGTGATAATGTTTATAATTTGAGTTATATTATAAATATTATAACTTTAATTTTAAATTGTAGTACAAGGTTTTGTTTGAAAAAATAATTAAATAATTTATATTGTAAATTATTTGTAAATAATAGTTAATAATAATAAAATTGATTAACTGCTCAGTTAACCACGACAAACTGAATTTTGGCTGGGATTTGAACTGAGTAAAAGATCAGTCCAAAATGTTGCAACAATTGCAGCAAAAATTATGCTTAAAAATATGATAAAATCTTTTAAAATCACATACAGTAATACAGCTTGATTTGGATTGAATAAACACTTGCATTTGTAGTAAACAGGAACTTAATTTAATTCATTTATAGTATTTTTGTAAAAAATAACTATTTACATACCAGTTTTAATTCTATAATAAAAGTATAAATATTTTAATAGCAGTATTTAGGAATTCATTTAACAAACGATTTTACTAATAAAAAAAAAAACGTGGCATACTCTTAAATTTCTTAAATGCTCTAAATTTAATCACCATAAATAATTTTGAGAGTCAACGTTTACTTTTTTTACAGACTTTTTTAATGTGTTATCAAACTGATGTTATCGCTTAAAGTTATGGCTTAGTCCCTAAGTTAAGAAAACGAAATACACTTATTGTGTTTTGTTTTAAATTATCTTTTTCAAGCAAATCTCAATGTAACTTTACAAAATATGGAAAGGTTTTACTTAGTAATACTGCCAAAACTAAACTTTACATATTATTTATAAATACATAAATGTTTTACATTTTCTATAAGTTATATAATTAATAATATATTACTTATATTATTTATACTGTAACTGATATTAAAAGTTATAATATAAAGTTTTATATGAAAAAATTTGTATACTTATTATATTGTAAATTATTTGTAAATAATAGTAAATAATAACAAAAATTACTAGGTGTTTTAAAGATTAACTTTATTTCTCTGTAGTAATGAATAATTTATCACATTTTGCTTAAATATATATAACATGCGACAACTAAAAATCTGGACAAACTTTGAAAATGAATATCTCTTGAACGGAGTTATCAATCTTATAAATTTAAAAAATTATTTATACTATACAATATTACTTTTAGTAACTGTTTTTACTTAGCATAATACTTAAAAAAAATGGTTTAAGCCACTTTGAATATTTACAAAAAAGGGTTTAATACACCGTCCATACTGACAATAAAAAATGTTTTATTTTTAAATTTTTTAAAAAATTTTTAAATATTTTTTTTCAAATTTGTATAAAACAACATTATTTTGATCGATTTTTTTCATATAAAAACGTTTTACAGTACGACCACTTCCAACCTTTCTTTTAGGTCCTACATTGATCTCCTTTTGTCGCAGTATATTGTACATGGTTGATTTTAGAACATTTTCCATGCGAAAATGGTTAACAACAAAACATTGTTCTCTTCTTGATGCAAATCCAGATAAGCGTTCACTCGTTTACGGAGTGCCTCTTGATTTTTAAATCTTTCAGACATGTTTAATTAGGTTCTGGAAAAAAAAAAGAGACGATATATTGTTTAATATATTGTAGAGGAAATTGAAACAAAGTAAGTTATATTATAAAATTATAAAACATTGTTAGAGATTTTATAATTTAGAGAGAATTTTTTTTTTTGTCACATGTTATTTATTGAATACATTTTTAAAATTCTTTGAAAAATAAAAGTTTATAAAAGTGTATATATTTTGATAGCAATATTCAGACATGTGTTTAAGAAATAATTTGGCTGGTCTAAAAGAGGGAAATGTTGCGTTTTAGGGTTTTAAGATGTTTTTTAATTAATCATGACACAATGTTAAATAGTTTTTTCAGAATATGTTGTGAAATAAATTAAATTTACAATCATGAAATGCTACTCAAATGCAATATAAAATTGAAAATAAAGTTTTTATACTAAATATTGCAATAAAAATTTTAATAAAACTTTATTAAATTTATTTAAGAGATTCAATTGTGTCTATGCTTTGTTTTTACAGTTGGTTTGTGTTAATTTATCATTGACAAAAGAAAATGCATTACTTCAATAAATGTTAGTTTTTTACACATAAAAGTTATTTATAATCTCCTATAAAATGGTTCATCTAATTCTAGTAAGTTTACACTTAATCTGACATGATTATTTTGAATATTTTTGTTTGAGAAAGTTCAGGAAAGTTTTACTTTTTCCAAGTTTTAATATGTCAAACTATTAGTTTACAGAGTTTGATAAAATAAAATAAAAAAACTACTGTATATTAAAAATATATAGAATTTGCAAAATATACAGGTTTTTCCTATTATTGACCTGGGCTTCTGTGAATGGATAAATTCTGTGAATAGAAAACGGACTGTGAATTGCTAAAAAATATGAATGCTACTATGATAGCAAAGATTTTTAGATCAAGAATGGTTTGTTTTATGAAAAGTTTATGAATATTTATGATAAAAAAAACTTTTTAATAACCACACACAGCAAAATCCAAGATTCTAGGTTAAGAACTTTTGTTCTTATTTTAAGAACTTGATTCTTATTTTAAGAACCTGATTCTTATTTTAAGAACCTGATTCTTATTTTAAGAACTTGATTCTTGTTTTAGATTTCCATTCTTATTTGACGATATTTCAATAAAAAACATTGTTCCTAATTTTATAATATTGTAACATTTTGTTTGTATATAATATGTATATATGTATACATATTATATACAAACAATGTTTGTATATATATATATATATATATAATGTATATATATATATATATATATATATATATATATATATACATATATATATATATATATATATATATATATATATATATATATATATATATATATATATATATATATATATATATATATATATATATATATATATATATATATATATATATATAATACATATATATATATATATATATATATATATATATATATATATATATATATATATATAATACATATATATATATATATATATATATATATATATATATATATATATATATACATATATATATATATATATATATATATATATATATATATATATATATATATATACATATATTATATATATATATATATATATATATATATATATATATATATATATATATATATATATATACATATATTATATATATATATATATATATATATATATATATATATATATATATATATATATATACATATATATATATATAACTGCAGCTGTTTAGCTAGAAAATGTTAATGGGAAGAAGCAAAAAGTGGATGAAATGGTGCAGTGCCACTGAGAGGGGGGTTGCGAGGGTTTTAAAAGTGTTTTAAAGGTTTTACCGTTTATTTTTGGACTAATTTTTTAATGCGTTGTGCTTAAAGAACGTTGTTTATTACAAAAAATAAAACCTGTAACCAATTTCTGCTTGTATTTACTTGTTCAAGCACCAGTGAAACAAACGATAGAAAAAAAGAAGCATTCAGTAGGCTTGCAATTTTTTAAATATATTTTTAAATGATCTGAATAATTTTGTTGTTTTAATTTAGTTAAATAATGAAATTGTTTATGCAAAAGATTGGCTCTTTAACTTTTATGTTAAAGTTGTTATTTCTTTGTTAACTGTTGTCTGTCGTTAACAAAGCAAGTAAAAAATGCACATAATGACAACAGATTTATTTTTAGAACTGTTTGCAAAACTTTTTGTTTGAATACAAAAGACCAAGTGAAAATGATACTGGAAAGGTACACTTTCTTATATCTAAACATCATTGCAGCATTCTAGTCGTCATTTTTGTTTATGTGTATTTCATCTGTGTTGCTAATGATATCGCCAATTTTATAATTTTATGTTGTTAAGTAAAGCATAGTTATGTTTCAGACTAAAACAGAGCTTTGATTAATACTTTTAACCGAATAAACAAGTTTAAGTTTAAACGAATAACAACCCTTAAGATGTATTAGCTGAATTATCCTTTCGTTTTGATAATCTATAGTCAATAACGGATTTTTAAATTGTTATTAGTCTACAAAACTTAATTTCAGCAAAATTCAATTAAAAGTCACGTCATAGAAGACAGAAAAATATCAATTTCTGTTTTCAATAACTTGGCTTTCATAGCAAACCTGAGAGGTGCAAATGTTTAGCTTGGTTTAAGTACAACATAATAAAATACATCGTTGTACAGTCATTTTGATGGTCGTAAATTTCTTTAGCACACTCATTTTTATATATTTTTAGACTGTTTACCGTTTGACTCCAGTCCCAATTAAACCTAGTGGGTTTAAAAAGAAAAAACCGCGCTGGAAACATAAGGGGATTAAAAGAATCAGCCCTTTTTTGAATTAATAGCCGGTAAGCCTAATTTGTTTCACTCAGCTTATCAAGTTTCATTCGCTTTTTTGTATTACATTCAAGCAATAGATTGTTTTTTATGTTTACTTGTTATTTAGAAGTTGTAACCAGCTAGAAAATGTAACCTGCTCGTATGAAAGAATTTCTCGACGTGAAATAGTTAATTTTATTCAACAACGCCAAGAAACAGAGCTCTCTCAAGAAACAGAAAAGAAAGAGAAAGATAAAAAAATATTCTGTTGAACAATACTGTTGTTTTATTTAAAAATAATTCTTCTAAGTTTAAACATATAACAGATGTAGAAAATGCTTCCTCTTTTATATTGACATCTAAAAGAGGTTTTTTTCTCAGCATCAGAAAGAGGTTTTTGTCATACTTGATATGAAGAGCTATTATCATTTTTATTTGATAAAAACAGCTTTTCATATATAAAAAGTAGGAATACTATAGTGTATAAGTAGGTACTATAGTATACTAAAAAGTATGAAAAAAAGTCGTTCTGAAAAAAAATTGATAATATCATAATTGATAAACAAAGACGTCTTAAAGACGCATTTTTTATGTCTTTTCATGACATGATTAAGATAAAAAAAGACGTCTTTTCGATGTCGAAAAAAGATGTCTTTTAGATTTGCATAATCGATTAAAAAAAGATGTCTTGAAGACATCGTAAATAAGACTTTAAAAGACGTCTTTTTGACGTCTTTTTTCCCATTGGGAACGAAGATTGCTCCAAGTTTTAATGCTTTGATATTTTATAGATTTATGCCCGTTATTATGAGAGCGGTGTTTAGACACAGACAGGTTTAAATTACTATCGGAACGAAGTTGATAACGAGTGTTTGCACTTTTGGAAAAAAAATTTTGGAAATGAAAGTCAAAGGTAGGTATTGTGTTGATGGTTCCAGACAAATTGACAGTTTAAAAGTTGAATATAGTCACATAATTTTAATACTTTAGAAGTTAGGTAGAGCACATTAGGATTAAATTTAATTTTATGAAAATGAATAATTTTTAAAGCCTTGTTTTGAAGTTGGGATAACCTAATAAGAGCTTGTTGATGGGACTGCCCCATATTTGCCAAAAATAGCATGATATATGTTCAAGAGTGTCTCAAAATAAACATAATGGCAAATTTTGGCCAACATGCCATTAGATCCACTTAGTTTCATTGCTAAGTTTTTACAGTGATATAAAAAGGAAAGATTTGAATCAATATTTATACCAAGATATTTAATTGAGTTAACATGTTCAATTAAACTAACTGAAGATACTAACTTGATTAGTATCTTCAGCTAAGTGGTGAACAGTAGCAAACCTAATGGATGTATGAAAATCATTAATATAAAGAAGAAAAAGCAGTGGTCCAAATACTGAACTCTAAAGAACACCATTAGAACATTTTACAAGGCTAGATTTTGAGTCATTAATAGAAGCAAATTGTGTTCTATCATTTATATATTTAGTAAACTATTTAAGCGGTACGCCTCTGATCCCATAATATTCTAATTTTTTTAACACAATTAAATGATCTACAGTGTCAAACAATTTTTGTAAATCAACAAATACACCACATGCAAAATATTTATCATCAAGTGCTTTTCTAATTATTTCAGTCATTTCAATGAGAGCATGAGTCTTGGAGTGATTGGCACGAAATCCATACTGATGGGCAAAAGCGATTTTACGCACAAAGGAGGGGTGTTTTTATGAAGCCGGTCGGTACTTTTAGGGATTCAATCCCCCTCATTTTATTTGTAGAATTGTCTTTGCTAATGGGCGTAAAAGCATTTAAAATTTTCAAGAAAAGCGTTTAGTCTATTATGCATTGGCTTTCCAAAAGAATTTACCAAAATTAAACAGAGAGATTGGTCGGTAAATGTTGAAGTCTAGTAGAGAGTCTTTTTTAAATATTAGAATATATAAAAAATATTCCAATATTTATAAATATAAATTTTGGCAAATTTAAAAATATTTGGAAAAATACCACTTTTAAATGAGTTATTCATAACAGTACACAGAGGTTTTGAAATAATCTGTGAGACTAGTTTGAGGAGAAATGTATGTACGCTATTAGGACCAAGACTTTTTTCTGTTTTAAGCGTGTTTGTAATGAGACCAGATATTTCATTTTCAATTACCGGATTAATAAAAAACGATTTAGCATTTGGAATGTTAAGAAAGTCACTAAATATGCGTTTAGGGGGTATGGCTCTGCTAATTAGTTTGTTATGTATAGTGCTAAAATAATTTTAAATATATTAGATACGGCAGTGTGATAATTAATAACATTTTCGTTTAATTTAAGTTTAAAAATCTCGGGCCTAAAAAAACTTATTTTAACTTGTAACATATACAATAATTTAAACGGGATAAAACTTAATGCTTTCAAATTGGAACTTTTGCTATCTGGAAAAAGACAAATAATGAACTGCACAATATCTCTAGACAACCATCAAATTATACCTCGTGAGAAACTTAATCATCTCGGCTTTACTTGGGATATAAAAAAATCAATTTTTGCTTCACTAAATAGAATGAAGTAGGGTATCAAATTTCAGGGCAACAGTGCAAACTCTAATTCAATCTGGAATCCGGTTTGCACATCCAAGTTCTATTATCCAATTATAAAAATCATTAGTAGTTCCGACGTTAACCAACGGTCTAGAGCTCTGTGAAAATAAAGGTGCAACAATGAAAAGACTCGACACATTTGGAAGGAACGCAGTTAAATCAATTTTTAATGTCTCTAAGTATAGTAAAAACTATATACACTCTCTATTTAAAATTAAGGAGATGTCAAATTATATACACCAAAACAAAATAAATTTATTTATCGGCCTTTTAAACAATAAAGTAACCTTTGAAATCATTAACTCCCAACTTAACTACTGTTCAGCTAAACTTTCTTTTTTAGATGATATAAAAGAATTATGCGATAATCATAAACTGAATATGAAAACCTTAATGCTGGTTAAAAAAAAAGTAAAACTTAAAGTCTTAGAGGATGTAATTCCTGAAGCTACTCTTCATATTTTGGTACAAGCGGTTCAATGTTGGAATGTAAAAGAACAGCGAACAATTTTTAAAAAGACACTTGAAGAAAACATTCCTGAATAATACTTTTTTTATCTCTTTTTCTAAGTTTGTGTTTTTACCTTGTAAATTTATTTTACAGAGGGTGATTAATAAAATATTAATAATAATAATAATAATAATAACAATAATAATAATAATAATAATAATAATAATAATAATAATAATAATAACAATAATAATAGTAAAATAGTTATTAAAAAAACTATATTTTTTATTTATAAAATAATTTAGCCTAAATAAAACTAAAAGTTGCGTTAGTTTTATTATAATTTTGTTAGACTTTTTAAGACTTTTGGGCCATTTTTATTTTGAACACCTTTTTGTGTGCCACAACGTAAAATTGACGTAAAAAATGGTCCCCTAACATTGCGGGGCCCGGGGGTATAGCTTCCTCTAACCATAACCCTCCTTAATCTAGCATTGGAAATAAGACACGATTATATAAATAAAAATTATATTACACTCTTTGTTAAATAAAGAACATTTGTTTCCTTTTTACACAACCGTAAGTTATTACTTTATATAAAAAACATAGCTTAATTTTGAAAAAAAACCATTAAAAAGCGATGTTTCGAAAATATTTGTTCTAAGGGATTGTCCATAAATTACGTAACGCAAAATTTCACAATAAACAAAACAAAAAAAGATCAAAAGTTTTTCCCTCTCAGAGTCTTAATTTAAATAAATAACAAAATTAGGAAATTAAGTTAAATGAAAATCGTAAAAGAGCTTAATATCTCCTACTTCTGTTCTTAAAATTTTTTTTGCATTGCGTAATTTATGGATGATCCCTAAACGTAATTTATTTTGCTTTTTTCGCGTTAAAAGTTATTTTATTTGGGACTGCCTAAAAAGCCAAATTCTAAAACACCGAAAAGCCGAAATGCCGGAAAAAAATGGCGTATAAGTAGTCCTGTGGTAACAGTAAAAAAAGACAACGAAAAGTTAATTATTTCCCGAATTTTTTGCAAATGCGAAAGTTTAAAGGAATAGAAGCTTTTGCTTTTGTCCTTTTAAACTTTTGCGAATAATAACGGAAAAAGAGACGAAATTTGACAGCAAACATTTGTCGAAAATTAAAGTGGCTTTTTGTTAGAACTCATTTAAGTGTTAGAATCTAATAAAAAAAATGTTTTTCTATTATTAAGGTATCAGAGAAAAAATTTTGAGTGCAGTAAAAAATAATTTATTTGGAATGCTGTTATTTTTCTAATATGAGCAGTGGCGGTAAAGTCAACAGAGAGACCTAAACAGTAAACGTAACTGCGCTACGTTCAAAATTTTGGTAGGGTGACCCTTCCTTCTAAGTTGCTAGTGACTTAAAAGTTTTCTTTAGTTATTATTACTTTCTATGTATTTCTTATAGTTTTTCCAAAAATGCGTCAAGTTCTTTTCTCAGAACACAACGGAGGAGCATTTATCTAAAGTTTTCTTCCCTTCCAATGACAGTTATTGAGCTAGAGCCGGCATGAAACCTCCTCGTTCTGAGTTTTAATTCTTATCACTTCGACACGGCTTCTGTTGATTAAAAGCCACGTTAAATAAAAAATTTTCAATTTTTCAAATATTTTTTAGTATATTATCTAAAAACGATAAAAAATGTTATCATTTTTAGATAATATACTAACAAATATTTGATTTCCTAATATATCAAGCATTTTTCTGAATTAATATTTAGATATCAATTTCTTGATTTTTTGTACCTATAAAATATTTTTACCATGTTTATGTAAATTTCTAGAGAAAATTGCTCAAGTAACCTAAACAAGCAAGAATAAAATTACCTAAACAAGTAAGAATAAAATAACCTAAACAAGTAAACAAGTAAAAGTTATACTGCCACATCAGGGATTACTAAAACCATACATTTATTTTTATGTAGTGGCGAGGATAGGATTGACGGGAAAAAAAGTAAAACAATTAAGTTATTAAACAATAATATAATAATCAATAAATATATTTAAGCTCTAACATTTATAAAAAATATAAAATGCGAACTATAAAAATATTGGCTGCACATTCATATTATATTAGAGACAATAAAGTTTACAATATAATATTTAACAAAAATTATGAAATTAAAAATAAATTAAAAAAATTTAGTTTTTAATTTATTTCCGATTTCATAATTTC